TTTCCTCTACCATGGCATTTGTATTGAATGTAAGCATTTCTCCCCTAGACAGTGGGCTCCTTGAGGCAGGGACTGTTCTTGCTCACTATTGTAGCTCAGAGCCTAGTAGAGAGCTCCGAACAGCACAGAAACAGCCCAGTGATGATTAAGCTCACACTGACTGAAGGACAATCAACCAAACCTCTCTGGTCTGTTCTATCCTACCCCATGCATACAGTTTCCCTTTACCCATTTTGTGCCACTGCTGCAGCCTAAAAACCTCTTCTACTACTCACTCAGACCTGCTCCCAAATTCATCTCTTCTCTGAAATCACCCATACCAGCCTCACTTTACATATTGTTGCTATGGAAACTGCCTCCCGGTCCTTCATCTATCACAACCTCTGGGTTAGTTAGTTAGCAGTTAGGTCTGGCTTCATAGCTAGATACAAATTAGCAGTAGACACAAAGAAAAGGTTCAAGGCACTCTACTCACAAAATTGTAATGAAATGACAATTGTGCACCACCTCGGCCCTAGGCAGAGTTTGAGGTGGCACTGATTTGTGATTTGAACACGTCATTAACCACAGACTCAGTTTCCTCAAAGGCAAAATGGGGATGATGAGTTTCACAGGTTGATAATGCTTACAGCCTCATTGAGCAATTTGTGTGAAATGTGAAAACAAGCCACATCAAGCACAGAGGATGTTAGTCTCTATGCCAACTAACCACCTGCCCAACCTTACTGTCCTCTTTCACCATCAGCTTTGTCCTTGATTCAGTTGAGAATCAAATGGTATCTATGGATCTTCTTCCACGAAACATGCAGACATAACATGATAACAGATACTTGCAGGAGATGACTCAGGACCCTCCCGCAAGGCTGGAAAACCACAGAACAAGCAACAATGCTAGAAGGCCCAAGGCTCACAACCTGTCCCAGATGCATGTCCTTGTTCATTCCCAAATGCTAAAGACGAAATACAAGGCAAAAAGATAAGTCTTCAAGGAAAGCATCCTCAAGCTAAATTTTATTTTTTCTACCAGGAATCAAACTCACAACTTCATGCTTAAGCTGCTGAGCTAAATCGCTGGCCCCTCAAGCTAAAGATGAACTCTAGAGCTTTTATCAGAATCTGAGAAATGGAAGAAGTCGGAGAGTTCTCTTTGAGAAATAAAGACCTGTCTCTTCCATAAAATATCTGATTTGGAGAAAGATTAGGTGACATATAAATATCCAAGATTTCTTGACCCACTCTGCCAAGGGTTTCCTCTGATCTTGGGCCTTGAAGTTTTCACATGACAGTACACCATCTGTGAGGTCCTACTCAACCTGGGTACCTGTGATCCACAGGCAAGTCTCTTTTGACTCTGTTCAGCTCACAGCTCAGCTTGGGCTTCATGCAGAAAAAAATGTAGGCCTGACACTGAGCAGCTGAGCTCAGAGGCCCACAGTAGCAGAAAGAAATGAGCCCTTCTTCAAAGAGTATAAAAATGTAAGTTATGCAGAAAGGTCATCAGGTTTGCAGCAGTATCAAAAATTGCACTTTGCCTGTCTGTACTTTCTATAATCTCTGGGTACAGGATTCTTCCCCCCAACTATCCACCCATCTCCTGCTTTCTCTTTCACCATCTGAACTATAAATCATATAATCTTAAAACAAAGGCAATAAACCCCAAAACTGAAATGAAATTGGAGGTCAATATTAAGGACCACATAAGTGAACATAGGAATAGACAAACAGTAGCATGATACTAAAACATCTGAACAAACCTGTAAGACATAAATGACGAAACCCAGCCAGGGCCTGGGTGAGACCATGACCAAAGCCACAGCTTCCACTGAGTCACAGCACCTCAGGGTCGGGGAGGAACCATGCGGAACACCTCATCCCTCAGAGGATCCTGTTAGTTGGCTTCAGGTTTTCATTATTTGCCTTCCTTCTTCAGAAGGACGTAACTTTGGGCCTACTGGGGAGATTCTAAACAGACAAAAATTCAAGGTACTAGGGACCCAGAAGCATTCCTCCACTGCATCCTTTCATATCTGGTCTAAGAGAACTAGCATTATGGACCCTTGTAACCAACATATGTGAAACTGAGTCGTACAGTGAGTGCCCTAAAATATTTATGATTTGTTCCCTTTTGGATGCTGTTATTGCATTGTACTACTCCTGGAACACTATATTCGTGTGCCCAAAACAAGGAGAGTATCTGGCCTAAATAGGCACTTGATAAGCATATACTGTACTTTTATCTCTACAACTGGAAAACACTTTCAAAATCTAACACATGGCAGATACCATGTGTTAAATTTTCTTGAGTGTACTTCTAGATATATGAACTTGTCTTGGCCAAAGCATATTTGTGAATGAATAGGAGATTCTTTGTTTAGTTGCCCAAACCTAAAATCTCTCCAGGCTGTGTCTGAGAAATCATCAACTACGTGAACTCTCTGAAATTCATGAAGGCAGTGTCTTTGCTGTTTTCTGGACTTCTCCATCCTGGGGAGGAAGACAGGGGAAAAATTTTGGGATGGTTTCTCAGGGATCCGCATTTTGAATTTAATAATTATGAAGCCAGCAACTGAAGAAAAGACCTTGGCTTCCTTCAGTAAGAAGTCCCTGAACACATCTATATAAACATGGGCATGTATGGTATAATCACGTATATAGCATATGCATCTATTATATGCTGGCATGTACTGGTACATCACAGCTGATAGGCATTCACCAACAGCCACTTATTAGACGAGTGATTAACACTTCAGTCCTTTAATTAGGAGCTGTCAGCAAATCAAGTGTTTTGAAAAAGAGTAAGTACCACTATAATTTATTCCCCATCTCTGGTTCAGTACTTCCTAAGGAATCAAGAACCCAATCTCAAAAAAGTGGTCACTCAAAACTGTGAGATTCAAAGAGAAATCAGAGGAAAGAAAGTTGTCCTTCCCTAGTGAGAAGCCTTAGGCAAGTTACATCACTTCTGAGCCTCAACGTGCTCATCTGTAAAGTGGGATTGACAATCGCTTACCTCACAGGATACTCTTAAGAAATGAAGTGACCAGGGGTCAGGGGTGGGAGGAGAGCTGCCTTGTAAAGTCATATAAACACATTATTATTTCAGCAATCTGCTAATCACAGATGACATTTCACCCAGAACACATTACAAAATTACTGCCTCTGAGCCTTGTTACCAGCTTGGACACCTGACACAAGAAACCAGCCGATCCGTGTTGGTGAAACAATACAGTTTCAAACACTCAAAGAGAGTTTACTTAGCCCCCAGAGCGTCCTGGCCACCTTCTAGGGTTTGTCCTGGGAATACTATTCCTCTACAACTGGGTGTCTTGAAATCCGGACAATTTTCTCGCAGGGCGCTTGCCCGCTGGGAGCCGGGATTCCAGAGGTTTAGGACCCAGCCCCAGCGCTGGGCAAGAGGAGCCCGGCCTGGGCAGGCAGCGCCCCTCCCCGTGCTCCCGACCGCTTCTTCCTGTGCTCTAGCTCTGCCAGGCGGCGCTCTTGCTGTCCCTTACACCCGGTGCAGGCTCCAGCCCCGAGGAGCCCACGGCTCCCAGGCTTGCTCCCTCCCGGCCTCTTTGGTCCCTAACCAGGGAGATAATCCCCAAGCTGCAGAGTTAGAGCGTAGGGCGGCGTGGGTGGCTGGGCTGCAGGTTGCTGCGGGCTGAGCCCAGGCTGGGGTGGCAGGGCAGACCCTGAGCTCCAGTCTTCAGACTGAAGGATTGGGGGGCGGGGGCAAAGTACGCAGAGTCTCTTCCCGACTGCAAAGACAGCGCACCCACTGGGCACTCTGGTTCAAGGGTCAGCTTGCTGGTGGTGGGGGCATCCAACACACGCCAGCCCCGGCCTCCGCTCTTTCCCGCACCCCTGCTAAGGGGGCTGCACGGACCCGGAGAGAGGGAGGGGCCGCACCGTGGACGAGAAATTCTCCCACGGCTGCCGAAGCACACGCGACTCCAAGGGTCTCGCCTGGCCGAGAGACACGCGATTCCTTCCTTCTCCAGGTACCCCGCGAACGCAGACATGACAGCTGCCCGAGTCCGACAAGGAGGGGCTGCTAGACCGATCCGGCCGGGACTCCGGGCCCACGCGCGTCCGCACTACGCTGCGGCCTGCCCCGCCCCCACTCCACGCCTAAGCGGTGTGTACACACACAAACAGCTGGGCGGGGGAGGCGGCGCCTCACCCTCCCGGTGCGGTGCGGACGCGCACAGCGCCGCCAGCCATCCTTACCCTCTCCATGCCGCGCCCCCTTTCTGCTCACACGCTCGCAGCCCTAACCCTGAAAACTCCGGGAAACCACAAAGAACCAGCACCGCTCGGACCAGAGGGTGGATTCCACGTCAGTGGAAAGAAATGTCCACGTCAAGCGCTCGGTCCCGGGGTCTCCTCCTCCGGTCGCATCCCAGGACTGGCGCGCGATCCTGGAGGACCCCAGATCTCCACCGCAGCCCAAGCCACGGTCCCGCCCGCTCTCCTTACTACGGGCTCCAGAGACAGTCGCGGGCTTGCGTCCTGACGAAGCCGAGCCGAAGCCCACCCAGCAGCCGCTCGGGGCACCCGCCACCAAACGCTGGCTTTCAGAGCCCGTCGCCAACTTAACCCCTGCTCGGCTGGGCGTCTGTGGTCCCAGGCCCGATCGCGCCGCGGCGACCCGAGTAATCATTTAAAAAGCCAACAGAATCACAACCGTAGGGATTGGCCCAAACTGCCACCCAGCAGATCCACCAATTCGGTTTCCTCCTCTGCCCCCATCCCCTACCCCGGCCTCTAAGGCCCCCTGCGGCTGCAGGCTCAGCGGGGACGCAGGGAGGGGTCGCAGCCTGTCTAGACCACAGATCTCCCGGGCCCGCGGAGCCCGGCGCGCGCACACACTTATCCCCGGCCGCTGCCACAGACACAATCTGTCACCAGGGCAGGGAGGGGCGGCGTGCAGGAACACTCTCGGGGACCCTCGGGCCGGCAGCCCCGAGTGCTGCAGCCTGCGGCCGCCACGACCCTACCTCGGCCGAGCGCGGTCACAACAGCTGCAAGTTTGCCGGGTACTAGACCAACTGCTCGATGCAGCAAATGCGGGCTTCAAAACAAAAGGGAGTGGAATCGGGCTCGCTGGCTTCCTCCCTCCGGGTCGGAACCCGGCACATGACAGCAGCTACACCGCGCGCGGCTCCAACGCGAGTCGGGCTCCAGCCGTGCGTCCCCCACCAGTCCCCTCGGCGCGGGAGCTCCAGGGCCTAGGCTCCCCACCGGGAGGGGCACGCGGCTGGGAGGGAGACAAACCCAGGGAGGGGGCGAGGTCCCCTACACAGCGGAGGAGGGGACGGTGGATGGGTGCGTACACCCGGCCGGCTGAGACGCAGGGAGGGGGAAGGGGGCTAATTGTCTCCCGCGGGCGTCCCGGATTTATCCACAAGCACGCGCGCGTCACTCAGCCCTCCTCTCCGGCCCCCGAATCGATCCGCAATCCGAGACCACTCAAAGAGGAGGGCAGACAAGGATGCTCACCTCGGGGTTCGTCTGGCTGTCGCGCCAAGCTTGCGTCGGGGTGGGGGAAGGGGCAGGGAAGGGGAAGGGAGGGACGTGGCTCCGAAGAGCCGACTCCTGCCTCGAGTTCCGCGCGTCCCAGCAGCGGAGCGGACCCGGCGCCCGGGCGCACGGACCCAGCCTAGAGGGGAGGGAGGGAGGGAAGGGACCGAGGGAGGGAGGGGCGGACAGGGGGAGGGAGTAGAGGAAAGGGGAAAAAAATGATCCCGGTTCTGACACAGGGAAAGAGAATGTAGGAGAGTGACGTCCAGGTCCCGCCTCCCCCTCCGGCCACGTGCAGACTTGAAAGGAAAGAGGGCGGTGGCAGGCCTGCTGGGTAATGTAGTTCGCCTTTCTTTGCCGGGATGGCGGGCCCTGGAGAGCCGAGTGCTGCGGGGACGCGGGGCATTAGCCTGAGCCTCCCAGACAGCTCGGTCTGGCGACGCGAAAACTTACCATCCAACGATGCTCAGGCTCTGTCGAGACCTGAGTGGGGACCTCTGTGGTGGGGAGGACTGAGGACAGAGGCACGGTCCGGGCTTAGTTTTAGAGGGTTGGAAGGCTACAAGCATGAGGACTTCAACGCTTAAAGCGCAGCCTGTCCTAATGGCAGATAAAAGGGAGCTTTGTGTTATGCACTGGGGGCGGGGAGTTGAGGTGGGGGTGACGTTATTAATGCTGCATTAAGTGCCTTCACCGGTTATTGAGATGCATATGTTACAATTAACATTTGAGCATCGCTGTGGCAGGGGCGGGATGTTGTAATTAGATATGCACTTTGCAACCAATTAATTTTCCATTGGCCGCTCTAAAGGCTGAAACAGGGTAACTAGGAGAATTTGATGCTGTGGATAATTCAGTCATCGCTTAACCAAATCACCACTGTTAAAACTGAACTTGGCACAGAGCAGCCTCTAGGAAAAATTTAAAATGCTTATGCCCCACAGAGCAGGAAAGTCAGACACATAGAACTGCTGTATGCTACATGTAACCATGTATGCTTACATTTGCTGAGCCTTTCTACAGACTAGACACATCTGAGAACGCCAAGACATGAAAGCCCTTACTCTGATCTCCCAAGAAACTCAGTTTAGTCAAAGGCCCACAGTCCATGAAAGTACAGGAGACAAATCAACACTTAACAGAATAAGCACAAAGTGCTGTGGAACCCTCAGAGGAGCAGGCAACCAGGATGGAGTGGGAGGGGTCAGGAAAGGCATATTTATGCAAAGAATTGTTATGATGCCTTTTTCCCTAAGACTTTTTTTTTTTTTTTTTTTTTTTTTTGGTCTTTTTCGTTTTTATCGGTACCAGGGATCAAACTCAGACTGCCTGCTTGCAAGGCAGGTGCTTATGCCGCTGAGCTAAATCCTCAGCCCCCTTCCCTAAGATTTTTAACAGAGTCAAAGGAATGGACATGCATCTGACTAAAACTACAAAGGATAAAGGCTCCAAATGCCAGAGCACAGGGCTGATTCTGACTGTCCCAGCAATTTGGCATCACAGAAGGGTCAAGTTGAGCTGGGCAGTATAGAAAGAGGGAATGTGAGTCCAGAGGGCAGGGGGAGCCTGGGACAGCTTCCCAGAAGGTGAGAGTTTGTTTTATGTAGAGAACATGTTTTAGGCCTGAGCTTGGAAGAAGCCAAGTCATGGATAGAAAGGAGAACAGCATTCACATCCTGTAGGGAACTCACTTAATATTTAGTACCAAAGGACATGGTGAGGGCATGGTGGGTGACACCACCCAACTCCATGCCCTGCTGGAGAAAGCCAGCAGGCTGAGTTTCTAGCAGCTCATCCACAGCCAAGTGTTGCCAAAAGGCAGAGTGGGTACTGGAAGCCAGGTGTCTGGGTGCCAGGCCCAGACCTGCCTCCCACCAAAGGAACAGACTGTAGCACACCTGACTCTTCCCGCTGCTTTGTCCCTCTTAGCATTTATGCCTCATTGGTTTAGTTATTTTTATGTTTTAACATCTGGACAATTTCCTGGGTTTACAAAATATTAACTGATAGCACTGGATTCTATCCTTTCAGCAAATTCTCATTTCTTTACCTTGCTGGTTTTGCACATTGTCTGACAGGGATGCCATCTGTAAAGGAAACGGAGTGGAATGTAAAACGCCCGTGGACAGCAAGGGCATCTGTGTAGGATGTGGGCCTAGAGTGAGCTAGGTAGTGGAAACTACATACTCTCAAGTTAGCCTGAACCCTGGGTTTGAATCCTCCCTATGGTCTTCTAGGCTCTGCCACCAAAGGCAGCTATCTTTTCTTTTTTTGTCTTTTTCCTTTTTATCGGTACCGGGGATCAAACTCACAACTGCCTGCTTGCAAGGCAGGCGCTTATGCCGCTGAGCTAATCCCCGAACTCATGACTGCCTGCTTGCAAGGCAGGCACTTATGCCGCTGAGCTAATCCCCAGCCCCGATTCCTGACTTTCTTTCTGTAGAGTCAGGCCAGCAGGGTTGGTGTTGCAGGGAGGAATCCAGGGAGGAAGAGCTCATTCTAGTGTGTGAACTAATTTAGGCTAGTCTTCTAGGATCCTTGGCTCCTACCTGCCTCCCTCAGCAGACTGTGGTTTATGCTCTCTTCCTCCCTACCTTGCTGTCCGAAGACCCCCATCCAATCCACCTTCTCTGGGGTGCATCCCCAAACTCCACACAGTTGCACATCAGACTTACCTTCTGCCTTTCTATGTCCTCAGAGCCTTTCTCTCTGCTTTACCTCCACACTAATAAACCTTCACTAGCCTTCCTAAGATCTTCCACGCAGTCTCTTCCCCAACACTGCCATTTTTGTTTTCTTATTGACAGCTCTCCAAGGTGGCCTCTGATGACAGCTGTTTCAAGGTGGAATGTGGACTTGGGAGATGGCCCTATGGATCCCTCAGACTGAGTTCCCTGGTAGAGGAGTGGCAGGAAACGGGTTGGGCCTCATCTGAAACCCTTCCTCCCCGCATTGCCATTGACTTTGTACCCGGCCTAGAAGTTAGAATCAGAAAAGCTGCTGAGTTAGTGAACTAGAGGCTCCTGGGAAAATGACACTAGCATTGGGTAACTATCAGATTTGGAGTAGCCAAATAGCTTAGAAATGCAAAGCAGAGTAGTTTTGTTTGTTTTAGGCAATTGCTTCTAATCAGTACTTGCCTAAGACAATAGCAAAAAGAAATATTTCTTCTTTATCTCTCTACTCTTTCTCTCTGTTCCCTCTATAGTTTTTAGGGAAATGTTACCCTCCCCACCCCAATTCCTCACATTTAGATATGTGTGTATTTAATTTGTGTAACTTTTTCGCTGCTGAGATTAAACTAAGGGCTTCACATGTGCTAAACCCATACCCAACCACTGAACAGCACCTGCCACTACCTCACATTGATTGAAGGCCTTGTGGGAACCACCAAAGTGCTATGGGAAAGCAGCTGTAACCAGGCTGACATCCAGGTCACCATAAGAAGGTAAGTGGTTCACTGCATGAGGGTGATTTAAACTGAACTCAGGATTCCTAGCAGGCTGCAATGGTCAGAGAAGACTTCTAGGAAAGTGAGAACTAAAGCCATTTTTGACTTTCTACTGCAAGGGATTCAGCAGTGGCCCAAGTGCCTGTCATGTGGCATTGGCTTGGGAGCACTGCAGAAATAATGACTTTGGCGGGGGCTAAAATGATTGCAGTGTGCAGCGTGCAGCCACTGACCCCGCAGAAGGAAATTGCCAGGCTGGCATCTGTACCACTACTGTGGTGTTGGCCTAGAGAGATAATGACTTGATAGAATCAGGTTGAATTTCAGCCATACTTCCTCTCAGCTTCCACTACACAACCCAGAGACCATCGTTTGAACGCCAAATGCAAAGCAGTCCCCTAAGGTGGCTGCCGGTTGTAGAGGAAAGGACATGGACAGGAGACAATGAGAAAGCAACTGTGTAGAAAAAGAAATAAACTAAGAAATATCAATTGGGAGCATGCTATGCATATGACATGGCAAAGTGTCCACCTGACATCTCCTGTGGTGTGACATTTCCTCCCTCTGGGCCTCAGTATCCATATCTCTAAAATAAATTAGACCTCTAAGATTATCTCCAAATATGAGGTTTGGCAAAAGGACAAATTTTAATGGTTTACTTCTGGCAGAGCAGAAAGGGTTTGCAATCATCATTAAACAAAGCCTTGAAGCTCCTAATGGAACAAAAGGCCGGCAGACCTTGCCTTGTAAGATTCAAGGACAGTAAAGTGAAGCCTGTGGGTCATAGGACATTGCCCAGAACTCTCAGAGTTAAAGGTCAGACCTCACAGATCATTGTCATGAGTGCCTAATCCACAGCCTTGTCCCTGATGAGGGCCTAGATCAGATACACACACACCTTTACAAGAGACTAGTACACACACACACACACACACACACACACACACACAGACACACACACACACACACACACACACACACACACACACACACTCTTATCACTCTTCTCCTGGGAGGGGAAGCCAAGTCTAATAGGACCAGAAGTGGTACCTCATGCCCCCTTGGTAGGTCCACTGGTTAGGATACAGAGCTGAGCCAATCAGATTCTCTCTTGCAAGAATCTGAAGAAAGAAACTGAGAAACTTTTGCTCATTGGTGATTTGCTCCTTAAGTCAAGGTTTTTGATCAAGGTGGGCCATGTGCAAGACAAGTGAAGGAGGCTGGCAGAGAGGGCAAGAGAAGCCAGAAGAGAAGAGAAGAAGATGTCCGCTATAACCTGATTTCAGACTTTTCCAGTTCTCAGTCACTGATGCTCTAATGTGCCTGCTTTCAATTCCTGACCTCTCCATCTCCTTACAGTAGTACCTTTAATTTCTGCTAGAATGAGTGGGTCTCTGATCATTAAAGAAATGTAGGGAGAGAAGTCAGGCCATTGTGATCCCTGTAGCAAGGACT